CCAGCAAAAGCCCTTAATGAGCACGTGAAAATCATTGCTTGAAATTATGGATTGTTGACAAGCACAAATGCTTAATGACAAGCAAGAATCCTTAATTACAAGCAGGTGCTTGTAATTAAGGATGTTTGACCAAAAAACAACCTTAATGACAAGCAAAAACCCTTAATTACAAGCAGGTGGTTGAAATTAATGATATTTGACAAACAAAAATCTTAATGACAAGCAACAAACCCAGGATTTTTGACCAGCAAGAATCTTTAATGACAAGCAACAATCCTTAATTACAAGCACCTGCTTGTAACTAAGGATTTTTTACCAGCAAAAATCCTTAATGACAAGCAACAAATCCTTAATTGCAAGCACCCGCTTGTTATTAAGGATTTTTGACAAGAAACAGATCCTTAATGACACGCACAAATCCTTAATTACAAGCAGGTGCTTGTAATTAAGGACTTTTGACCATCAAAATTCCTTAATGACAAGCAAAATCCTGAATTACAAGCACCTGCTTGTAATTAAGGATTTTTGACCAACAAAAACCCTTAATAACAAGCAAAAACCCTTAATTACACGCAGGAACTTGTAATTAAGGATTTTTGACCAGCAAAAATCCTTAACGACAAGCAACAAATCCTTAATTACAAGCAGGTGCTTGTAATTAAGGATTGTTGACCAGCAAAAATCCTTAATGACAAGCAACCATCCTTAATTACAAGCAGGTGCTTGTAATTAAGGATTTTTGACCATCAAAATTCCTTAATGACAAGCAAACATCCTTAATTACAAGCAGGTGCTTGTAATTAAGGATTTTTGACCAGCAAAAATCTTAATGACAAGCAAACATCCTTAATTACAAGCAGGTGCTTGTAATTAAGGATGTTTCGCCTTTGTGTCCCCCACGTCTCAAGGAGCGTCCGCAATTACTTCCTTAGTCTCGGCCAGCCGGACCAACTTCAATCTCTGGGCCATGGACGCTGGCCCTGCGCACTGGTAAAGCAGTTTGCGCGAGGAAAACACGAATCCGACAGGCAAGAAACCGTAGTTACAGGAAACAAGCAGATTTTCGAGGAAAAATCCTGATTTGCAAGCAAAAATCCTTATTCGCAAGCAAAACTCCTTTTTCGCAGAAAAACACCTTTGATGACGAGCAAAATTCCTTAATGACAAGCAACAATCCTTAATTACAAGCAAAAGTCCTTAATTACAAGCATGTGCTTGTAATTAAGGATTTTCGCTTGTTTGCGTCCCCCGCTTTTCAAAAACAAAAGCCGCAAATCCTGGTTTTGGACCGAAAACTGGGGGACAGACCCTCAATTCTGTCCCCCCTTTTTCGGCCCAAAACCAGGATTTTCATGTGTTTTTGTCTGAAAAGTGGGGGACACAAGAGCCAAAAAATCTGAATTACAAGCGCCTGCTTGTAAATAAGGGTTTTTGCTTGTCCTTAAGGGGAATTGTGCTTGTCATTAAGGAATTTTCTGCGAAAAAGGAGTTTTGCTTGCAAATATGGATTTTTGCTTGCAAATCAGGATTTTGTTCCTCGAAAATCTGGATTTTTCCTGTAACTACGGTTTCTTGCCTATCGGATTCGTGTTTTCCTCGCGCAAACTGCTTTACCAGTTCGCAGGGCTAGCGTCCATGGCCTAGAGATTGAAGTTGGTCCAACTGGCCGAGACTAAGGAAGTAATTGCGGACGCTCCTTGAGACGTGGGGGGCACAAAGGCCAAAAATCCTTAATTACAAGCACCTGCTTGTAATTAAGGATTTTTGCTTGTCATTAAAGATTTTTGCTGGTCAAAGATCCTTAATTACAAGCACCTGCTTGTAATTAAGGCTGTTTGCTTGTCATTAAGGAATTTTGATGGTCAAAAATCCTTAATTACAAGCACCTGGTTGTAATTAAGGATTTGTTGCTTGTCGTTAAGGATTTTTGCTGGTCAAAAATCCTTAATTACAAGCACCTGCTTGTAATTAAGGATTTGTTGATTGTGATTAAGGGCTTAGCTGGTGAAAAGTCCTTAATTACAAGCAGGTGCTTGCAATTAAGGATTTTTGCGTGTCAGTAGGGAATTTTGCTGGGCAAAAATGCTTCATTACAAGCACCTGCTTGTAATTAAGTTGCTTGTCATTCAGGATTTTGCTTGTCAAAAATACTTAATTACAAGCACCCGCTTGTAATTAAGGATTTTTGCTTGCCATTAAGGATTCTTGCTTGTCATTAAGGATTTTTGATCGTCAAAAATCCTTAATTACAAGCACATTAAGGGTTGTTGCTTGTCATTAAGGGTTTTTGCTGGTCAAAAATCCTTAATTACAAGCACCTGCTTGTAATTAAGGATGTTGGCTTGTCATTAAGGATTTTTGCTGGTCAACAATCAGGAATTTTGCTTGTCATTAAGGGTCTGTTTCTTTTCCAAAATCCTTATCTACAAGCACCTGCTTGTAATTAAGGATGTGTGCTTGTCATTCAGGATTTTGCTGGTCCATAAGGACACTCCTCGAGAATAAGGAATTCATTGCGGACGCTCCTTGAGAACATGTTTTTTTTTGAAGGGGGTGGGGCGGGGGGGGGGAGTGAGTCCCGAAACGGGGGCACCTAATCCCTAAGGACCGTGGTAGCACGGATTGATGGATTGCTGGAAGTCCCTGGTTATGCTTTCATTTGGGCATCGTTCGCGGAATGTCTCAGTGCAAGGGCGCAGCAAACGTACCGGAGTTTCGCTTTTAGATGTGTCTGATGCCTGAGTCATCCTAAGCCAACAACATTTGGGCGTCGCTAGCGGAATTTCGCAGCGCAAGCGCGCAGCAAACGTACCGGAGTTTCGCTTTCTATTTGTGTCTGATGCCTGAGTCATCCTAAGCCAACAACGACTGCTTTCATTTAAGCATCGCTAGCGCATTTCTCAGAAATTGCAGGCTCACAACCAATGACTGAATTGCAAAGCCGGGGTGTCCCCCAAGTTTGCGTTTTGAGCAAACAATACCGATTCCAACTGGTGATTGAACTGTTCAAAGCTGATCGCCTATGGAGCATTGGGTCATCTGTTCTACTGAAACCAAATTGCAGGCTAACGACCAATGACTGAATATGTGCTCTACCGATGCCACATTACAGAGCATGGGGTGTCCCCCAAGTTTGCGTTTTGAGAAAAACCATGTCTGATCCCAACTGGTGCCTGAACGGCCCAAAGCAGCGATAAACATGGGTTCAACAGCCTTGATTACAAACAACAACCTTGAAACACCTGGGATTGTGCCCCCTGGGGCACCCCCTAAGTTTGAGTTTCGAAGAAACAACTATTAACAGGGGCCCTCCAATTCATACATATGTCTAAACAGACTAGGGTTGCAAAAACACCGGACACCACAAACCTTATTCTCAACCCCCCTCCTTATTCACAGGGTTTATGCAATTTGCCATAAACAATGTAGTTTGGTCCATCTATTCGCCCGTTATTTCCCAGGTGTTCCTCACTTCCCGAGTAGATTGGCCCAAACAAGGCACCAGACACCGTCTTGTTTGCCACTAGAATTTGTCCAAAGAATCCCAAACAGTGGTTTAAAATCCGAATTTCGGAACTCAGCAAAGCGAGACACCATCTTTTCCATCAAGGCAAAATGTGCTGTTCTGAAGCGCGGGACACATCCCCTCACTCCAACACGGCCCAAAAACCGAATCTAGAAGCGACTAAAGTCCAAGATACGGAACTCACTCAGATGCCCAGTGCAGTTCCACGGGAACCAAAAACTCGGCACCCTGTTCTTGTTGAGTTTTTTACAGGAATCGGAACCCTTACCCCAAACAAGTTGAACAAAATAATTGGCACCACTGGGCAACAGAGCTCAGGCCCCTCGCCCGGATTAGTGTTCCAGGTCTAGGATCTTTGGGCTCCAGAAACCCAGCTGGTCCCAAGTACCTCATGAGGACGGAGCCCAAACACCTCTACCTCAGAGCTGCTCTGGACCCGCAAAAAAAAGGCGCTTTGGACCAAAGCAGTCCCCAAAAACCAGCCAAAGCCACACGAGGTCTACCTGGGAAACGAGTCTCTGGGGCCCCGTTCGCCGAGCGCCTGCGCACGAGCAGCTGCACCGCCTCAGGTCCGCGGCTGCGCAGGGCCTGGCGGAGCCGCTGCAGCAGGTCGGTGGCGCCTCGGGCGATGCAGCTGGGGAGGGGGTGGGGTGGGGGGTGGGGTTTGGTTGGAGAGGGGGGAGGAAAGGGGTGGGGGGGAAGGGGGGCGGGTTTGGGGGGAGGTTTGGGGGAGGGGAGGGTTAGGTTGGGTTGGGTTGGAGGGGTAGGATGAAGACTTGTTCGATTTTGGCATGGCTGAGTTGGTATTCTTTGGGGTGCTTGTGATTTCACTTGGTTTGGCGAGTGTTTCATGAGCCCATGTTCAGGAGTTGTTGCGCTGGCCGCTGGGTTGGTTTAATCAGCTTTGGGGCTTGGGGTCAGACCGTCAACCGCAGCCATCCCCTTAAGACAGCACCTGGACAAAAATCAGTGGGAGAACCACCTAACTGGTGGGATTTTGTCCATGGACAGTATGAAACTCATTCATGCACCCAAAAAACAAAAGTTGAATTGGCAAACCCGACCCCCCCGAATAGGAACTTGGAACTTGGCTCCTTGCATCAAGAAAGCCAAGCGTCGGGCTTCCCTCAAGCCATCAACAAAAAGTTCCCCACCCACATTGCAGCTCAGGATGGTCAAACTCAACGCCCCTGCCTTCACAAGGCCACGCAAGCCGCACTGTACTCACTTTTGCTCCGCCCGGTGCAGCTGAGTTCAGTGACCAGAACTTGTGATCCTTCTATACACCTCATGTTTTCACCCATCTTCACTATCATTTCCATCAAAGCAGAATGTGCCATGAAACGTGGGACGAATCCCTTCACTCACAAAGGTGTCCTGTTTCTGCATGAGGCGGAATGGTTGCTTCAGGAAATGTGCATGTTCGCCAGAACGGCATGCAAAACTCATGACCCAGAGATATCTTCGATTTTTGGCCCCTGGACGTTGCTCCGGGCCCTTGCGTTATATCTTGTTTCCTCCAGCCACGGCCCAACCGCCCGTCTCAGCGTCGTAGACGTAGTGGGAGTCGTGCACCGGCTTCAGCAGGTCAATGTCATGGCCTGAGCTCAGTACGCTTGCGATTCGCCTGGCGACTTGCTGCTTCGACCCAGAGGGTCCCTTGGTACCTTCTAAGGAGGTACTTAGACCCCTTTTTACCCCCCAAAAGCCATCCTCATCAGGTACTTGGACCCTCTGGGCGATAGGCAACGAATGAGAGGACTGGAGTCTATCCCACCAGAACGACCATCCATCCGATTTGGCTGGACCGAAATTTTTCGGGAATCCGAGTCCAAAACAGGTTCATTCCTTCCCACCCGGACTCGGATTCGGATTCCATTCCCTATCCTTCCATTTGGTCAAGGCCCCAGGAAAACACAAATATTTCCAGTAGCGATGAATTCCTTTTAAACCCAACAAGGGGGGGGGGAAACATCTTATAATGGAGGTATCGCACCGATCGCAAGATCGGTCTACGAAGCAAAGGGCACGGGTCATCTCATGTGACGACCTGAATGCCCGTTGCGGGCAGTGCTTGAAGAAACTGGACACGTACAGTACACAAGCACAAGCACAAGCAAAACACACAAACACAAACACAAACAACGGAACAAACTAACTTCAAACTAACTAACAAACAGCAAAGCAAAGCAAAGCAAAGCAAAGCAAAGCAAAGCAAATTCACCCGGATGGGTAAGCTCCTCCTTGGTTTTTGAAGGCCTCACATAGATTTTGTGAACCGCCCTTGTACAGTGGAAAGAGTCCATGACTGCGTTGAGAAGCAGGTCTCCTGGCATAGAAAATGAAGCCCGAAAGATCCGAATGCCAATCCTCCACAAAGATGCCGCTGCAAGCCGGGGCCCGACTGCGAAGACGTGAACATTTCATTGCCTTCCGAGGGCCCCGCCTGCAAAAAAGGGGTAGAAACAACATTGATATCTTCTTTTCCGTATTGCCCGGTGCTTCACCAATGCTTGGGTCTCACAAAAGGCGGGACCATTGGCTTTCTGCGTGTGCCTGGCACCAGGGACCAGTCAACACTCCGAAGCCTAGCACCAGGCATCCCACAAAACAGTAGACAGCATAAGCATGTGGGTATGGGTCAAAATGACACCAGGGGACCGGTAAGTTTTACCTCCATGTTTCCATTTACCGAATTCCATTCGGGGTACCTATTTTTGACCCACAGCCATGTCAGTGTTAATCAAGTTCTAATAGAACAAAGTACTGTTTGTCGCTATCATTCGATTGTATAACTTGGCAATCAATTTATAGCTTAAACAATTTGAACTTGTTCAACTTCTCACATCATATAGGGCTCCAAAGCTCAACTTGCAGGTAGCATTTGCTTTGGACCACGTCGGGGTTTCACATCGCCCCCTGCTGACATCCAGTGGGTCCCCCGCTGACAGTGACCACCGCTGCGCCCTTGGGAAGGCTGCCAGGCCTCTGGGGAGACAAGTCCAGTTTCAACCATGGCCCTACTGTGGATGGTTGCGCAATCCATTTCGCACCACCTAAGAAACCCTGGAAGGATGATTCCCCTCTACATACCAACCAAATCCAACAAATAATGACTTGATGGGGTTCAACTGGGCGCAGGATTTCGTCCACCCACAGTAGGTCAGCAGCTTTTTTGCCCAACAGGGCTCCCTCTCTCCTCTGAACATCACCAAACGGAATCTCACTTGAAATACCCTGGAGGGACGAAATCCGTTCGCACCACTCTGAATCCATGGTTGAAACCATTGTTTGTTGGTATTTACAGGGGAATCATCACTCCAGGGTTTCTTCGGTTGTGCAGGAGTTCCTCCATCCGCAGTATTTCAGTAGATGTTCTCAGCAGATCTGCTCAGATCCAAGTGTGCCTTGTCCTGTTTTGACAGCAGCTTAAAAGTGATCAGAAGGGCCACAAAGGACTCAAGCGAATCACTGCACCACACCGTAGAAAGTTTGCAAGTGACGGCGCCTGTATTCAACCCAATCTCACGCCGGAGAAGTAAACATTCTTGGCAGGAGTCCGTGAGCATGGCATGCTGAGTTGGCCTTTCATTAAATGTATGGGTGTGGCTCAAAATTAAACAGGAGGGCAAACCGCAGGTTTTGGTCCATGTTTCCACTTGCCAGGGTTCCATTTTGGAATTCCGGTTTTTTGAGCCACAGCCATATGCTCACAACAGAAATAGCCGCCCATTTTGATTCAAAGGGGCTATCCTTCAGGCCGGCGCCTCAAAGAGGATTTGATCCCCGTCCTCAATCGAGTTTCTCTTCGCAAGACATTCGACTTAGGTCACATGGAACCTGAGTTTGAGGAACAGTTATCCCTTCTCACAGGGAGGATACGCATTCTTTTTTCACTTACCTCCAGACATCGTAAAAAAAAAATGTTTTCGACCCAGCAACTTCGTTTTGGGCTCGAGCAAATCCTCGCTGCCCTTCTGAAACCACCTGCCAAGTGATTCATGAGCCCGCCACCGTTCATCTAGTTCGAACTCTTAAATATTGCCAACTGTTTCTGGGCTGTCCAAACTGATCCCCTGCTAAAAGTGTCACTCTTAGTGGCTGAAATGGAAACTATACCTCTAAAGCTTAACAAAAAAAGGCTACAAGCCCTAAACAAACCTGAAAAAACACCTTTCTCACTTTCTCACGGACTCATCCCGGCGTGGTGCTATTGCACGCGGCCGGCTGACGACTCTTTGAGTCACGGACTACGTTCTTCTCATCCACCGGAGCAGGGAGCTCGACGGTGGGGTCTGAATTCTGAGCAAAGCCACTGGGCCAGCTGGTGGCAAATAGCCGGCCCCTTGCGTAGTGCGGCGCAGCACTCCTTGCGGGAGGTGCTGCCCAAGCCACATCTCGACCGCCTCATGCCTGGCCTGAGGCCAAGGAACGCTGACACACTGGAGCCAGGCACAGAGAGTTTCACTTTCTGGCCGGGCAAAGGCAACAGTGTAAGAGATTCCTTGCTCGTCCCAAAGGGCGTTGAGGGCTGCTTTGAACCATTTGGTTCGTTGGCGCAGCGTGCGTGGCACCAGGGTGGTGCCTTGGAGATTGGGCTCATGCCACAGTTTGCCATCACGTACCGGGCCTTGGAACCCGGTGGCCTGCTGATAGGCAACGAGAAGCTGCATGTAAGATACCCATCGAATGGGCCCATCCTTCAAGCAGTGCTTCCACCAAAGTGTCATGGTATCAATTACCCTCTGGCCTAATCTACCATACGCCCTGTGTGGCGTCGGCAGTGGGTTACCTGGCACTCCGAAAACGGCTACAGGTTGGGCCAACCTGGGCGGCCCTGGGGCTTGTTGACCCGGCTGAATTTGGAGAAACTTCATTGCAACTCTGACAAAGTGTGCGTGCAGCTCCGAAATAACCATGCGCTGGTGTTGCCTGGCTCCGGCACATGCACTACGGGCGAGGTGAAAGGCCTGGTCCCGGTTGGCGTTGGCCTGAACTGCTGCTTGGTCAGCGCAGGCGTTGTGATAGGCTGCCCATTCTTCGAGCGGTGAGGTATGGTCATTTTCACTGGTGTGTGCCGCAACTTTTGTGATTTTTATCCAGTCAAGTCCTAGCTTCTGGGCGGAGGCGGTTATGTCGGCCCACAGGTCGCCGTCTCTTGCGTTGGCCCAACTGGGCTCGCTGCCGGCCAAAATGGCCTGCATTTTGCGGACAACGCCCAGGCAGTCAGACCAGATTTGGACCGGTCTGTGTGCCCGTATGGCAACTTCCAGGACCTGCTTAACTGCATATGTCTCTGCTCGAGGCACGGTTTGGAGGATCCCTGGCAGAGGTCCTTGAGTGACGATGTGGTTCTCCCATATATCGTGCTCGTGAACTGCGGTGACTGCCCAGGCAGCGTACCTGAGTACCGGGTCCTGCGGCGATTGCGCCGAGCCGTCCGTGAAAAGATTCAAGGGGGCGCCTGATTCATTATGCGGAGCACGGTATTCGAAAGTGACTGGCTCAAGCAACCTTTTCATCCACCTGATTTGCTGCGGGGATATGGTGGCCCAACCCCGTTCACGAGTGCACTCAGGCAGAAGCTCGAGGCTACCGATGCCGGCATGGATGGCCTGGCGTGAGGCCTGAGTTGCTGCACATTCCCAATGCCTATGATGCATGCTGTCGGGCTCTTGACAGAGTGGGCACTGCTCAGTTTGATTCGGATCGTACTTGTGCACCTTGTCATTAGCAAAGAAGGAGCCATTAAGTACTAGCCTGAGGATGGCCTGGTCAGTGCCCGGAAGTTTTCCCAGAACTGTTTTTGTGAGGCTGGCGTCAACTTGGCTCATACCTGCAAACCCGGGTCTATGTTCTACCGAGGTACCGGCTTGGCGGTTCCACGCTAGTCGCATGCGCATATAAACGCTCTGCGCTGGATCATGTAGCAAGGAGAATTCACCAAGTTGGTCAACGACTTCACCCACTGGGCCGACCTCCCACTGAAAGGCAGCGAACCTCTCTACCAACACCCGGCTGGGTCCAGTGCGGGTACCCGTGGCAGCGGCCGCTGCCAGCGTGAGCGTGGCGAGTGTTTGTGGGTCGGCTTGTGATCGATACGTCCGCAGTGTGATCCAGGCAGCATGGAACTCCGGGTCATGACTGGGCTCCTCTAGCACCCCAAGATGAATTTTGGGGTTGGCCCCTGGCTTCTTGGCTCCTAATCCGCGCATAGCTCCGGTGCGGAGATGTTTGTAATTTTCCGGCCCAAGGTGACAAATGGAAATGCCGTGTAGAGCTCGAGGCCATGCGGCGGCTTTGATGGCCATGAGCTTGACTTTGTATGGACTACCGCACTGGCGTAATTGGGCCCAGAGGGGCTTGAGTTTAGTGATTCTTTCGACTAGCGTGGCGTTGGTTACTGCACATGCCCTCCAAGGTCACGGGCCGCGAGCTTGAGGGACAATCCCGTGCGTTTCACAATTCTACTCCCCTGAGTATTGTTGGCCCAGATGTAGGATTTATCCTGGTCCAAATGCAAGTCATGGGCGTCGGCAAAGCTTTGAAGCACCCGGTATGCGGGCTGGACGTTGCGGGCCTCGTGGGTCTGGACTTCCCAATTGTCGACGTATGACAACATGTTGACCCCTGGGGCATTGAGGCGCATGTGAGTGGCCAGGACCTGGTTCAAGAGAACCATGGCCAAGCAAGATAGGGCACATCCCTCGGGGTACCCTGTCGTACCGTGTAGGGCAGGGCCTACCGAGTTTCGGATTTTGAATCTCCTGGCCATAACGGAAGTGGCTCCGCTCCAGGCTCTGACGACTCCAGAGTCCAGCCCAGCGGCAATGGCTGCGGTGAAAATCGGCGTGCGCGGCAAGCAGTTGAAACATTTTGTAATGTCTGCTACGAGACCGGCGACTTCCTGGCCGTTTGCACAAGCATATTCAAGGTGGCTCTGCAACTTCCACCATACATCACCGGCGTGTTTTTTTGGCACGTTCCCAAAGATATTTGTATCCAGGGTTGGCGCTATCGCCCGTATGCACTGGCGACATCTGATGCTGCCCCATAACCTATAGAGCAGGCTAAACACGGTAATTGGTCTGTAGGAGGCCGCACTGTTCGGTGAGGATGTTTTCTCAAGTGCACTGACAATGCCCGTGACCAGTTGCGGTGGCCATTTGCCCGTGGTCTCGGCTTGATGGTACAATGCGAGAATGCCTCGGACTATGTCAGAGGGCAGGTTCAGCAGGTCCTCGCGGCGAACGCCGTCTGGACCTGCGGCTGCTTTGCGTGGTTTGCGCCTGACTTCCGCTCTCCACTGTTCCTCCGTGATTGGATCAAGGGGGTGTAGTTGGGGTGGGAAGCTGGCCCAGGCAAGTTCGGAGGCATGGTCCCAAGTGGACTGTGGCCAGGCATCGTGCTTGGCCCATCGTGCTTGCCACTCATTGGCAAAGGCTTGAAACATTTCATCAAGTTCGCCGACCATGGTTTCCTGAACGAGTTCGTCCCCAGGTTGGAGATCCTGTGTGGACTGGACCCAGATCTTGTCAGCGTCTATGTGGATAACATCCAGAATTTTTCCCCGGGCCCTGATGGGCTTCGAGGGGCACATTTTTCCTGCAGTTTCAAGGCACAGGGCACTGTCCTCATGGTCAAGATGTCAACTGGTTTGGCTTTTGGCCTAGAGATGTCCTGGAAAACCAGAGAAGGGTGTGCCTTCCTTCTGTCCTTGGCGAACCTGATTCTATCGCGGTTCAAGCTGGCTTCGAGATCGTTGAAGTTAGCCTGAAACCCGAGAAGGATCGCTTCCACAACAGTTGCTTCGGGACACAACTGTGGAATCCTGGCCGGGTCGGCCTCCTGTACGCAGGGCCTAAACGGCCACCACTCTGAGAAGCTAGGGGCAAAGCCCTTGGCACGTCGGATTGCTTGCCATGTGAGGGTGCGCCGAATTACGGCATCGGTGGAGAAGTTGGTGGCTGCACGCAACTCTGTGGC